ATAAATAACCTTATATATTATTATTGTTATTGCACAAAATGAGACTAATAGCCAACAATCTAGCGTTAAGTATTACAATTAGACAGAAAATTAGGATTTCAATTTTTTTATACTATATTTATCCTGTTAATTAAGGATAAATTTGTCTCTGCATTTGACCCATCCCTAAATATGGGGAGCAGTGGGCTGTCTTTGACATGCGACACGTCAAAGGCCATGGTTCGAACAAACAACCTTGTGGTCACCAGACAACCCTCTTAACAAAGTGAGCCACGGTCGCCCACCTTTTCCAATAAAGAAAATCTAAGAGCCAATCAGCTCTTTGATCCGAAGACAGCAAGAAGTTTCCCATCATGCCCTGGGGTCACGCAGTCAGTGGAGAGCAACTGCAGCGCCTGGCTCTAAAATCTGCGGCCACCCCGCTCTCGTGAGGTTATCGTTGCCCACGTGATCATGACGTCAGCGCAAGTCCCATCATGCCCTGGGGTCATGCAGTCAGTGGAGAGCAATTCTGCATAGCCTGGCTCTAAAATCTGCGGCCGCCTCGCTCACGTGAGATCATCGTTACGCACGTTTTCATGACGTCAGAGCAAGTCGGACGCAAATCTACCCAGCATACATTGTGCGCCGATCGCCGGTGATCGATTCTGCGCACGCCTGGCTTAAGTCGAACGAGCCTTTTATACACGAGCTAAAGTACACGGACAGGGAAAGAATAAACGCCAACAGCGGGCACTGGCCACACCGTACGTACGTTACGCTAGATGTACGTACGCTACGTAACGCAAAGAGACGGAGCGGTGACGTTTTGATGTAATGCGCAGCGTGCGCCTCGTGTTCCTGATGCGTTCACAGCCACATAGAAAACTGGAGAGGTCACACAAGGCTACCGGAAAATACTGTTGATTCCAGTTTGTGGTGCTCAATAAGTCCAAACCAGTGACCAGGATTTTAGAAGGACTGAGGTCACGAGTCCCCCAGACAACTATATAAGGTCTTGAATGGGATGTATAAAATAATTATTATACGATACAGGACAGGAACAGACTATAACTGACAATAGGAAAGTGAACTCAGTGCAGATCTCTGCCAGCTGTGTATGCAATGACCACTGCTGTATTGTGATCAGGACTGCTGATCAATCACTGGTGCCAGTCTGCCCTCCATCCAGGACTTCTTCTCCTCCAGAGTCAGGAAACATCACTGCAGACCCATCACACCCTGAACACAACGTGTTCCAGCTTCCCCCCTCTGGGAGGATACAGAACACTGAACACTGGAACAACCAGACACAAGAAGAGTTCCTTCCTGCAGGCCGTCACTCTGATGAACCCTAACAGCAGTCATTCACTGTCAGTAACCCTCTAACACCTAAATATTTACTGTACCTACAGATTATAAATGATATCCTTTTTAACATGTAATTATAATCACCATCAAAAATAAGCAGAATGCTGTACTGTATATTCATGTCCACATACCTGTATATAAAGCAACCTGTTACATGAATCATTTATTCCAGCACCCGTTGAACTCTGCACCATTTCACTGACTCACTTGCTCTTTTAATACATATATTACAAGAAAATTTAGTACAGCTTCTATCTGTGCATATACAGTATATGTAAATATTTTAACTTGTTTGGTTTTTGTCCTTTTTTAAGCTTTATGTTTATTTGTGTGGAGAACATTCAGAGCAACAGAAAACCGGAGTCAAATGCACACATACTAGGCCAGTAAAGCTGATTCTGATTCTATATTATTGATTTTTTCAACTTTTAAATAATACTTGATTCTGCCCTCAATATGTGGTCATGAGATCTGAAGACCCAGAACACGCTGGAGACATTACATCTCCCAGCTGGCCTGGGAACGCCTCGGGATCCCCCAGAATGAGCTGGAACATGTTGCCGGTGAGAGGGAGGTCTGGGTCGGCCTGCTTGACCTGCTGCCACCGCGACCCGACCCCGGATAAGCGGAGGAAAATGGATGGATGGATGGAGATCTGAAATCAAATTTGGGTTTTTATCATAAATTCTTCAAATGAACACAGAGCTCATCTTCAGTCCATCATAGGACTGAAAGCTAAACTGAAGGCCTAAAGCACTGACACAAGTACATTTCTGAGATTGTTTGTATGAACAATCAGACTTGTTTCATTCATAAGTGTGACAGTGAGCAGTGTTTGTAAAAGGCGGTGTGACCTGATTGGAGGGATATATATATAGTTTAATACCATTCTAATTCATTGTATATACATATATGTTCTTTTTTATTCTATTTTATCTTATTCTTTATTATTCTATTTCTTCAAATTCAATATCTGCTCTGTTATTTTATTGTACTGTATATATTGTGCATTTCCATACGTAATATTTTACATTTTATTTTGCTCCATAAATTGCTGCTGCTACAAACTAATTTCCCCCTGGGGATGAATAAAGTTTATATCAATATCTATCTATCTATATCTATATTCTTCACTAATTATATTCAACTCCACCAGGGAATATTTTTCCATACAGCGAGGTCACTTATTACTGCAAGAGCTCTACTTATTCGGCTAATTGTGGTGTGTCATTTACTCTGCGGAATTACGTCGAACTATAACACATCCCAAGTGAAATGATGTGTATCAATTAAACCGGGATATTGTTTTATGATGCCAAATACAATTCTGTGTGTCTGTTTAATGTACAGCCTTCGTTAGAGCAAGAAAAAGCCAACGGATAGTGAGGAGGAGGAGATGAGGAAGATTTCTAGCTTTAGATGGATCGTTCCAAAGTAATACTATGATGATTTTCATGACAACTCTCAACAAAGTTTTTCATCACTCTGGGCTTCAATTGAAACTGTGTCACAGGGCTAACAGTGTTAATATGGGAGGCCCTTTTCTAATTTGTCCTCCTTCCCTCCATCCCTCCCTCTCTCTGTCTCTCCTCTGGATGTCTCCCCTCCCTTACAAAGGTACATGAGAGCTCTCTTTCCCACACACTCCAAGTGCTTCATGTTAGAGCTCTATCTCCCAGTCACTGCCTCACAGCTGGAGCTCTCTGAGAACTGAAGAACAAGCAGCGGTTTAAACAGGTATGTGACATCGTATCAGCTCTCTGTCTGTTCCGCTGTAACTTGTATGGGATACTATTTGTTTTAATTGCTGTGGGATTAAACACAGTTTACATGCAGCGATGAAGCTGGTTCATCTAATTTTGATCACATTTCTTGAGTTGACTTGCAATAGAAAGGAGAAAGAAAATATGAGTCTAGGAAGGTAAAGAGGGTGAGAACATGGATATGAAAGGATCAGTTTACCTCATCACTAAAAGCACAGTTTGGTTTTATTTGGAAAGATTTTCACATATCTGCATCCGCCCCAATACAATGAAGGGGAATGGAATTTAATTCATAGTGCTGACAACTTTGACAAATGAGATTTGAAAAACTCGACAGTGAAATCTTCAAAATCTATGCAAATAAGACACCATGACTAGAAACCATTGGAGGCAAGAGAGAAAATATTGAGATATATGGGAAAGAATGTATAGCAGAAGGAATGCTGTGTAAATGAATGACTGCTACACCTCCAGTGAATTTATAAAGTCCTCTTCCTATTGTCATTTAATGTTATCAACGTTTACTCAGTGAAATCAATTTTGACTCCATTTTAAAGGCTGTTGCACATGAATTTAAAGCTGGATTCTGGTTTTGTCAACATTACATTACATTACATTACAGTCATTTAGCAGACGCTTTTATCCAAAGCGACTTACAATAAGTGTATTCAACATAGGTATTCAAGAGAACTACTAGTCACCAGAAGTCATAAGTGCATCTCCTTTCTTCAAGTCTAAGTTTAAAGAGTTTATTGGACTCTGTAATTCTTCTTCTCGTTCATACTGGCCCTGAAGTGATGCTTTTCTTTTTTATCTTTGACAATATCCACAGAATTTACACTCAAAGTGTGATGCTGATTTCTGTACCATTTTCCTTGTATCAGGATTGAGGGACTTTGGCGTTCATGATTGGACCATTTCATGACAACCAAGCTCTGCATTTTGGTCCCAAAGATATCGGTTCTAGGATTTCCTCTAGGTTGTGTTGGTGGTCCTGTCCAATTCTGTCAAGCAAAGAGCTCTGCCAAACTGCTCCAGAGGCAGCCATAGCATTATAAATAACATATACAAAGTGGCAACTTGAATGCAGCCCAGAACTTACAGTAATAGACATATGGACATACAAGTATTGTGTTAAGGCAAACTTGAAAAGATCCAAACCAATCCTGTAAATCCCAAATGTCCTTGATAAACACTGTAGACACCTCTGCTCGGTGTAGATTTACCAGCCTGCTATCTACACTAATGCACATGTTGTGGTTTCTTACAGCAGGATGCAGCGACTCAGGGAAGGCGTTCACATACGTACAATGAAGGCAAAGAGGAAAGTGGAGGAGATCTCCAAAGAGGACGTCCAGGCTTTCCTCAAGAAGAATGCCTTTGTGCTCTTTACTGTCGGGGCAGTTATTGTCGGTGTGTATGCCTCTGCAAAGCTAAATGCTCATTCAGTCTGTATCTCCTCTGCATTACCAGCACTCCACATAGAGATCCACCTACAGTATATAATGCTGTCACTCTCTCTGCAGGTATTGTTCTGGGATTCACGCTGCGCCCATATAAGATGACCTATCGAGAGGTGAAGTACTTCTCCTTCCCTGGAGAGCTGTTAATGAGAATGCTTCAGATGCTTGTTCTCCCCTTACTGGTATCCAGTCTGATAACAGGTACGACGTCTGTCAGTGGATACAGGACTTGTTAACATTCACTTTGTTCTGGATTCCCAGAGTTATGATTCTGTTTCTCCTCAGAGGTCTTCTATGTTCATGTGATTGGTCAGCTGTCACTTTAGCACCATGTCTTCATCAGACACTACACTGATAATACATTTTGGTATGTGTTGTACAAATTGAGGGAAGAGATATGCCATTCATTAAAAAAGGAGTTGCAACTGGGGAAACGGGTTAGAGATCTTTTTTATCATGACAACAAATAGAATATTTTTTCATCCTAGTATTTGTCTTATTGTGAAATGATCAACAGCATCTCAGATAGGTGTAATAACATATAAGACACTGGGCTTGCTGGGAGAGAATGAGGTGGTTCACAGGGAGGTCATGTTCACAACCCACTGAGGAGGCCAGCCTCACCCCCAGCCTGGTGATGAAGAGATCCCCACTGAATCACTTACAGAGAACACTTGGTTAACTAGAGAAGGTGCTTCATCCTTGTGGCCACTATGCACTCGGCCTATTCTCATGGTTTGCAGCAGTGGACCTCAACTTGTTTTAAGGCAGTCTGCCACTGAAACTTAAAAGGAACTTATTTCGTTTCCACCCACAAATTAGAAAATGATAAAGTTACAGTAGGCCTCTCTCTTTTTCTTGTGTCAACAAAAGGTTGGTTTCCATATTGCTAACATTTCCCATGTTGTGAAAGCTTTTCCTTTAATTAAGCCTACAGTCTGTCATTTAGCCGTCAGTCCAGACTTTAGAAGCTCCCTTTCAGTATCTCACTTAGTTGCAATAGAGAAAAGGCAGTCAGAGGTGGGATTCAGAGCTGTACATATTACACTTCATCTTTGGGAAGGCAATAAAACACTGCACCATAGTTGCACTGTGCACCAACACTGACCTAGAATTTGAAAATGAACTTGTGTTGGTTTCAACAAAACGTAATATTTGGGTTCAGCTCACAGTAATTCAGGTTTATTGATCTGCTGTTTCTACTGACATGCACCTTGGGAATTGTAGTTAACTTCTGTCCTGTGATCTGGACGGAGTGTTTTAACTAAACAGGCTTCAAGTGACCTCATAGCAGGTCCCCAGTAGAGGATTTCGTTTTTGTTAACACGTTCACTGAGAATAACTGTTTTTTCTCTGATCGTCTGGGGAATATGTGCTATCTGCACTCACAGTGCATCACAGCTGAGTGCCACAATTATTTTCCCTTCTTTAAGATAGTGCAGAGTAGCTCTTTTAAACCGTTTAATGCTATTCACGAAGTGCACATTCACAAAATGGCAAACATTTTATCTTTTCTGTCATAAACAGGAAAACTTTCAACAAAAAATGTGAATGCCCTTCTTTTGAATTACAACTACCATTTGCCACTTGAAAGCATAATCCACTCCAAAGGGTTCCTTTAAAGATAACATCCGCCGGACCCACTGTTATATAATTCATTCCTAATCTGCCCACTGCTTCAAAACAAACGAACTGGACAGAGAAAACTTCATCACCAGAACTAGTGCTGACAGGGCACTGCTTTGTAAAGAATATTAGTACATGTTTTAATACTCTGATACTGACTGCATTTCCAACCTCTGTCCATTAGGAATGGCAGCTTTAGACAGCAAAGCCTCAGGAAAGATGGGCATGAGAGCCCTGATTTACTACATGACCACGACCTTTATCGCAGTCTTCATTGGTATCATAGTCGTCCTCATCATCCACCCAGGAAAAGGATCAAAAGCTGAGTTTGGAAAGCAGCAAAAGATAGAGCAAGTCAGTCCTGCTGATGCCTTCTTAGATCTGATCAGGTAACCTGCATATATAAATGATAGTATTCACAAAGTTTGAATGGAACTGGCCAAAATCATCTCTTACTCACTGTGTGATTTCTCATTACAGAAATATGTTTCCACCGAACTTGGTCCAAGCCTGCACACAGCAGGTGAGCTTCACAACGAATATTGACACTCAATTTGCAGTAGCTTTTATCTATGAAGACCGAAAATAGGTAATCTTTTGACAAGCAGCCTCTAGCCCCTAGAGTGTTCATTTCAATCAGGAGAGTCTTCATTTAGAGTGAACAATAATTCATTACATAGAGCACAATGAGATGAATAGTGAAGGGTCTCTGGCCATTAGACCCCATTGGGACGTAGAATAGTGAAGGGGGTCGTCATGAGGTATTTAGTTCAGGAATGCTTCCCCCTGGAGTCCAGACACTGGTGGTGGTAAATGGATTTGCATTTGTATATTTCTACACATCAGGACTAGACTAATTCCCATTCATGCACATTCATACACAAATGGCACAGCCTTCAGGGGCAAATTGGGGTTATGTGTCTTGCCCAAGGACACATCGACATGGACTAGAGGAGCCGGGATCGGACTGCCCTGGTGGTGGTGAAGATCACTGGACTGGTCACTAGATATGACTGAAGGTGAAGGGGGTGGAGGGGGGTCGTATCGGTTCTGACAGCAGCAGAGAGGAGAACAGCTTCAAAATCTGACAGCAACAATATGATTGGCTTAGGGAGGTCGTGGAAGAATCTGGTTGGTATAGGGTTAATGTTAGAGTTAGAGTGAATGCCCATAATCACTACTATAAACATTGGGTGAGCCAGGAGGGCACAGTAATTTAACTCAAAGTATATCGACCGGATTCTGAATGTTAACTAGTGCAGTGGTATGTTTCAAAGTCCACTAGTATAAGTCCTTCAACTCTCTCATTCTCCAGTTCAAAACCAAATATGGAAAGCGAACAGTCCATGTGACTGTCACAGTGAATGACACCCTCTTCAACTCGACCAATGGCATGCAAGAGGTCATGGAGATCACCCGGGAGGAAGTGATCCCAGTGTCGGGTCAGGTGAATGGGGTCAATGCTCTCGGGCTGGTGGTCTTCTCCATGTGCTTTGGTCTAATAATTGGCAGCATGAAGGAGCAGGGCCAGATCCTGAGGGATTTCTTCGACAGCCTCAATGAAGCTATCATGCGCTTGGTTGCCATCATCATGTGGTAAGACTTTGCTTTCAGTGGGAGGTGTTGAACGTCACACTTATTTTCAATAACTCGCTGTTCCTCTCGTCCTCTCAGGTATGCTCCTATTGGTATCCTGTTCCTGATTGCAGGAAAGATTGTGGAAATGGATGATCTGACACAGATGGGTGGCCAGCTGGCCATGTATACCATCACAGTTATCATTGGCTTACTGATACATGGAGTTCTTATTCTTCCCACACTTTATTTTGTTATCACTCGGCAAAACCCTTTTATCTTCATTGCTGGTCTCCTGCAAGCCTTGATAACAGCCCTGGGGACCTCCTCCAGGTGAGTCGTGTCCGACACTACCACACTTCAATAAATGAATCACAACTATTCCCTAAAACGAACTACACTTGGCCTTTGAACGACCCAAAACCTGTTTTGTCTGATAAACGTGTCCGTATGCTTCAATCTAAGTCTGTCCAATTGTCAAACCTTTTTGCCATCAGAATTGTGAGGGCTGCATCCAGGTGTGGAAATTTGTACAGTTTGAACTTTTAGTTTTTTTGATCTTAGTATGGGTTCAAATAGGTACGGATGTAACGTCATGTGACTCAGTGATGTCAGTAAAAGTAACTCAACTTTTGGTTTTACACAGGACACAAACGGCGGCCCCCTGAGTGAAAGTCCTGTATTTGTTTGACCCATCCACCACATCCTCCCTCCAGCCCTTGGAGCACTTTCTCACTCTTAACACTATGTCCATTGCTATGAGCATCTAAACTTGATGCGGATGGGTTTACATTGGGTTAGTTGAAAGCCTGATGCGTCTCATACAGATGCTAAGTCTCTTGAGTCTGTATTTGACGACGTGAGAGTAAGACCGTAGGCCTGTACTGTGAAGCAGGATTTAAGTTTAGCGAGGTAACTTCAGGATTAACTCTGGGTTTACAGTCGTACGACGGAGGTTCACTTCTTACCGGGATAGATCGTCATGGTAACTGATGCTGAGCACATAACCTGCTCCGGAGCAGGTTATGTGCTCATGAATAGTTATAATATTACACAATTATGAAGCAGTTAAAGTCATAATCCAGACTGATAGTAACACAGTTTAAACTGACACATGCAGAAAAGACATCTGATAATAAATCAATGGCTGTGTGAATGTGTAAAATAACAGATTTATAATTTCACTGCTTCATCTAGAGCATGATAGATCCGACTATAATTACGTGTGTGTATTCTGTTAAGTTAATGTGTTGCTTAGATGTGTTCTTATGGCGCGTGTCACAATATTTTAGCCTTGTTCTTCCAGCTGTAACCCCGGTGGTGTGAAACAGACTTGATCTGTATATATTCTCATATCATATATTCATATCCTACATTCACTTATGTGTATTAGCTTCTTGAGCCGTGTGTTGCAGTCACAGACTGGATGCATTGCCTTTTGTTACTTTGCTCCGGTTACCTTAATGTATGCTGTGGTGATTATAAGTTATGGAAGGAAACCTTCTTACTGCATTGAATTATGTTTTTATATCTTTTTTTAAATTTTTTCCCAAGTCTGTTTCACACTGCTGGGGTTGCAGTTGAAAGAATAAGAACACATGTAAGCAACACATTAATTTGATGGAATACACACATGTAATTATAGTCAGACCTATCGTGCTCTATATGAAGCAGTGAAATTTTAAATTTGTTATTTCACACATTTCTTTTGCATTTGTCTGTTTAAACTGTGTAGTTTTTAGTCTGGATTATGATTTTAACTTGCTGTAAACCCTTTTCTGTGAAGTTGATAAACAGCTTTGTAGGACCGTTTAGCGGGATCACGGTAGTTAGGGTTAGTTAAACCAGATAACCAAAAGATATCTGGATGCTTGAACTGGCTTTGTAGTACAGGCCTCCAGTTGGTACAAGACAGAGGGGAGAGTGAAATGAGGGAGACAATATTAAGCATTGGAAGAACGGAGGGAAACACAGGTTGAGCCGTGGGACAAAGAGGCGCTTCGGTTGGGACAGGACAGGGCCAAATTTGTCTCCTTTCTTTTACCTTGGTTTGTTGGCTAGTTTGTTTTTCTTCTGAAGTTACGGGTTTCAATAGCCCTGTACTGTAAAACAGTGCATGCCTTGGGGGCCAAAGGTAGCATTAGTTGCTGAAGTTAATATTATTCATTGTTTTCTCAATGTGTTTTTGGTTGGATGCCTGAAATAAGGAATGTGCTTAATACAGAAGAGATTTTAACGTTTCGTTCTACAATATAAAATATGTCAGTAAATACCTCTCTAGTGTATTTAGAAGCTTTTACGTGTCTTAAAAAGGTGGTTCAAATTCTAAACGTAATAATGAATATCTTGCATTTAAGGCTACATATATTAGGAGACTGTCTGTCTATGTTCATTGATTACTGTTAATGATTCCTCACAATCATTATTAACAATGTTTTACCAAATCATTATGAGTTTGATGGCAGACAGATGATATTAGAGGTCTTCAGTACATGTACAAGCTAATATTTAACACCAAATCTTTAAACGGAGCGAACTATACTGACTGACTCGTCTTTAGTGGAGCTCCTCACTGCTGACTGGATATGAAGCCCTCTAAGGCAAATTTGTGATTTGTGATTTCGGGCTCTACAAAATTAAATTTAATTGAAATTGAATTTTCCTATCTTTATTCAAGAGTGTGGGCTTTCAATTTGAAAGCATGACTTATTGATTTCATATCAGTCTGTATAATGCTCTCCCTCTAAACCCTGTCCTCATACTCAAACAGCCCCTGCTTGCACTTGGATTTCTGCTCAGACTGCTTGTGAGGAGAGGGGCTGAAGCTGGAACGCAAGAAATCTGTGCAAGCAACGATATATCTGAGTGCAAGCATACAGTTTAAACAGAAATCCAAGCGCAAGCAGGGGGTGTTTGTGTGTGAGGACAGGGTTTAGAGGGAGAACATTTCAAAATATTAAATTAAATCAATAAGAACTCACTCTTGAGTAAAGATAGGAAAGAAAGCTGCATAACTGAAAGCACTGTTGTCAGCTCAGTCATGATACACATACATTACTTCCTAAAAGCTTACTGAAATGCCATGAAAGCCACAGAGACAGCCATAACTCTGCTGCAAATTAGTCGGCCACTGAGCTATTAACAGTTCTTATCGGCAGTGGTGGAAAGTAAATAAGTAGCCTACATTTATTTAAAGTTATTGAATGAAATAAAAACCCAGCCTATGTTGCCAACTATTTTACAGTGAAATTAGCTAGCAGCACTAAATCCAAAAGTCCTTAAATCTAGAAAGAATGTCTGCAAGCCTGATAGTCCCTTTAAGCCTCCCTCCAAAATGATCATTATGAACATAAACAACAAACATTGCTACTGTTAGTAATGTTAGACAGGTAGGGAAGGAAGACAGGTAGGTAGACAGCAGGGTAGGTGGACAGGAAAGTAGGTAAGCACACAGGTGGGTAGGTAGATACGTAGATAGGTAAGCACACAGGTGGATAGGTAGATATGTAGATAGGTAAGCACACAGGTGGGTAGGTAGATATGTATACAGGTAAGCGCACAGGTGGATAGGTAGATACGTATACAGGTAAGCACACAGGTGGGTAGGTGGATATGTAGATAGGTAAGCGCACAGGTGGGTAGTCCATCCAATCTATTTAGATTGTATGGCGGTTCAGTATAGTCAGTTCAGTTTGAAGATTTGCTGTTAAAGATGTGTTCATGTACTGAACACTTCTAGACTGAATGGTGATATGATCACTGACTGGTGTACAGTGGGCTTCATGCTGAAGTGCATTTGAATGAGATGGAATCACTTAGCTTAGAAAAAAAGTGAGCCAAGCAAAAAATGAACTGAATGCAACAATTCAAGCAAAGTGAATCAGAATTTCCACCTGTGAAGGATATTTCCCAACATGTAAGACTGTTTTTTAAACTATTTTTCCATTCTTCCATCTCTCAGCTCAGCCACCCTCCCTGTCACCTTTAAATGTCTGGAGGAGAACAACAAAATTGACAAGCGAATCACACGTTTCGTGCTGCCTGTGGGTGCCACCATCAACATGGATGGAACAGCTCTGTATGAGGCACTGGCAGCCATCTTTATTGCCCAGGTCAACAATATAGAGATGAACTTTGGTCAGATCATCACCATCAGGTTAAAAAAAACAGGAGGATCATAGATTATGCTTCTGCAAAACAAATGAAAAATCCCAGCATTTTTATCTGTGTATGCTTTCTCTTCAATCTAGTATTACGGCGACTGCAGCCAGTATCGGAGCTGCTGGCATCCCTCAGGCAGGCCTGGTCACCATGGTGATTGTACTGACCTCTGTTGGACTTCCTACTGATGACATCACTCTCATCATTGCGGTTGATTGGTTTCTGTGAGTGGCTTCCTGGATCATGAACATGTGAACAATAATACATTGTGTGTGACACGTTGCTCTGTGAAGTGCTGTAACTTTAACTCTGTCATCTTAAAGGTCAGAAGCAGATCTGTATCTACTACCACCTAGTGACATACTTCTCTCTCCCCGGAGTCTCGTTCTACATCTTCCCTTTTGTATTGAATATTTTTGCAATGAGTTTTAACATAGAAACATAATTAGGTTTCCCAAATTAATCATTTCAATTAGAATACCCTTCCCTGAAATTACTCAGCTAACTGGGGTAATAAGAAAAATACCCTTCTCTCCTTTGACTGGAATGGACCAAATCTGACTGTCTGTCAAAGCATTCCCACACGAAGACAGGCCCAGAAGTATAGTATAGTGTTTAATGAATAAACGCCTGTATGTTCTAAAGCTACAGCTGTGTTTTATAAAGCAAGAATAACAGCGAACCAGGCTTATTTTCAGGTTTAGGTAAGTCTGGCCTAAGTTCTCATCGAAACTTTCCTTGAGACTAGTCTGGTCCACTCAGGCTAGTTGTCAAGCTTAGCTTCCCCTCAGGCTGAAAGGTTTTAAGACTTTAGATACAGCTCACATTACAAAAGGTTAAGCCTTGGGGGAACTACCTACTAGAGACCTTTTTGTTGGCCGGGGGCAGGTTTCAGGAAGTCACTGCTCTCAGCAAAGAAATAGTCCAGAACATAACCACCCATCAATCCAGAACTTGTTTTTTTTTTACTTTTTTTGTTATACAAATGAAAGATAAAAGTTATATACAGTATGTCAAAATATAACATGTTCATCAGTGAGCTTTAGAGGTGCTGGTTACAGAGCCATGATAGCTGTTGGTAGTCTTTATGCTAAACTAAGCTAATAGCATTCTGGCTCCAGCTCCATCTGCTCGTCTAATAAATGATTGTATTTGGCAAAGTATTTTATTTGCATTTTACCTCATTTCAGTTGCATACAACTAAATGAAGAAAAGCAACTCTGCCCTCAAATATAGCTGCAGTTACCGTGCACCCAGCATGTTTGCCCACTTAATTGCCCTTTTATTGTCTTTGTTCATGCTGGAGAGTAGGGACCGTCTGCGTACCACGACCAATGTCTTGGGGGATTCAATCGGAGCCGGCATTGTGGAGTTCCTGTCCCGACATGAGCTCCGCAGCAAAGACGTGGAGATGGGAAACTCAGTGCTGGAGGAGAGGGAGAGGAAGAAACCCTACAAGCTCATCTCCCAAGATAGTGATTTTGAAAATGACAAACGTACTCACAGTGAATCAAACATGTAGTTCAACATCATTACCGTGTACAAGCACTTACAGCTGGTTCTGTTTTGGGGAGTAGGGACCTAATCGTCAAACATAGTTTTATTGTTATTATTTCACACTTTTTTGATTTGATAACATTCCTTTATTATCTCTTTCATCCAAAATGACATAATGTGCTGACATTATTTGGTTTTCGTTCAAATAGGACTGGTAGTTTTTGTTTTGTAAGTTTACTACTGAAATTAACATTTTAACCACATATTACCCTCATGTAGAGTTTGAGCTGGAAGTAGGTTTAGATATGTGCTGGATGAAAGATAAAACACTGCACTGAACCACAGAGATATTATGATATGATATATTAAGAAATTATATATTTGGACTCTAACCATTTTTCCACCAGGAGATGACTAAAGTTAAATTAAAATGTGTCTATATTGTCCCAACATTAGATGGTTAATATTGTGGTTATTACAGGTTTGATTTTTATGTTTCAGTGGTACAGGTTCACAGATTCTTTCTCATACAAGAATTGCAAATGCATGTGTGTGTGTGCACATTCACATCCTGACAGTGTGTGACTTTTTATCAACATTGCTGAGTCAATGCAGATATGAGAGAAGTGACTATGTTGGGTTATTAATACATGTTAAAGCCTCTGATTTCAATATGAATGTGTGAAAAAGAATTCAACAACTGAACATTAAAACAGTTGTTTTAGATTTTGTTTATTATAACTTCAGTGAAATAAACCGAAAAAAAGCCTTTCCTGCCTGTCTCCCTTTTATTCATGTCAGGGATCATTTCAATTGATTAAATAATTAAATATTATAAAGAGAGAGAGAGAGAGAGAGAGAGAGAGAGAGAGATTATAAAGAACAGTGAAGAGTATTTAGAACATTGGAAAGAAGAAACTGAAAGCCAAAGTAGAATAGAAAGTAATCTGGCCCCAAAAAAAGATGACAAATTGTCAGAATATCTCTCTACTGTCAGAGATATGAAGCAGAGACCGATCCTCACCAAATACAGGCTCAGTGACCACAAAAAGGGAAATCCAAACAGGAAGATACTAAAATCCATGGCAACGAAAAGAAAACAGAGTATGTGGTTACTGTTGGACAGGTGAGGTTAGGGTTAGGGTTGGGGTTAGGGTATCACTACTTAAAGATCCACCAAGCGAAGATAAACTGTCTGGCGGGAGCAGGAGCAGCAACACGCACAGGTGTCCAACCTGGTGAGACACAGGAGGAGCCAGGCCTGGAGTCACCCCATATTGCCCAGAACCTCCAAGAGTTGCAAACTAATCCCTCTAGCATTGAGTCTAACAGAAGATGGATGCTAATATGGTAAATGGACTGTACTTGTATAGCACATTTCTAGTCGACCACTCAAAGCTCTTTAACACTACATGCGATCATTTACCCATTCACACCGATCCATACACTGATGCAGGGATCCATGCAAGGTGCCACCTGCCTATCTAACATTCAGACAACATTCACACACTGTAGGCACAGCTACGGGAGCAATTTTGGGGTTAAGTGCCCAAGGACACATCGACATAGACTTGCGGAGCCACCGATCCTCTGATTGAAGGACGACCCTGCTCTCCATTGAGCCACAGTCCCCAATATGACTTCACTTTGGAAACAGTTTGACCAAGATGTCAACCACATTTTGGAGGCAACGGTCAAATGTAGGAAAAGAAGAATGCATTGGCTTGGCCCAGTTTATGTGCATCCTACAGAAAAGATCAGAGTCCTCACCAGGCAGAGTAGCATTCTGGTGAGGAAGGGCTCAAAAGCGTGTCGCCTTTATTGCCAACCCCTTAAATTTCACCTTGGAGTTGCTGGGGCAGAAGCGCAGTGGCAAACTGGTCTGCTCCCAGGAAGACATAGACTAACATCTAAAGGCAGATATACAGCGGCCCTGAAAGACAGCAGGAGTTGGGAGAGTGCAACATCTTAATAGACCCCCCTTCACCGGAAGTGCAGATCAACATGTCGGAGCTGCAGCTAAAGGAAGTCAGAGAGGTTGTCCGTAAGGCAAGGGCAAACTCCGCTCCAGGACCAAGCGGCACCTCGTACAAAGTGTACAAGAACTGTTCCAAACTCCTGCTGCATCTATGGAAAATGTTACGAGTCTTCTGGAGAAGGGGGAATATCTCAGATCAGTGGAGAGTGACCGAAGGGGTGTGAATTCCTAAGGAGGAAAACTCCACCCCGATAGACTTGCATCATCTCTTTGCTGTGTGTCTAGGCTAAGATCTTCTTCAGTGCTGTTTCACCTACCTGGCAAAGAACACCTGCATCGACATATCAGTCCAGAAGGGTTGCATATCAGGGATACCAGGCTGTCTGGAGCACACCGGTGTGGTGACAGCTCATCAGGGAGGCCAGAGAAAACAAGGGCAACATGTCAGTGTTATGGCTTGACCTGGTTCCATCCCACACAAGCTGCTGCAATTCACTCTGACCAAAGATCATCATCTTCAGGAGCAATTACATCAGGATGGTATAAGGTTAAGATTGGTATCATCACAGGGTGCACTATCTTTGTGACAATGTTCTCCCTAGCCATGAACATGCTCACAAATTCAGCTGAACCCGAGTGCAGAGGACCCAGATTGAATTACGCTAAACGGCAACCATCCATCAGGGCATTCATGGATGACCTCACAGTCACCACAGAATCAGTCCCAGGCTGCCGGTGGATTCTGACAGGACTTGAGAAGCTAGTGCTGAGGAAAAGGAAGGGGGAGGATTAGTTCAGATTCAACATCGCAGGCATAGCCATTCCAACCATGACAGAGAAGGCAGTCAAGAGCTTGGGCAAGGTTTTTGCTCTCTGAGGGACACAACTGCTATCCATTCGACCAGCACGGAGTTGGATGGCTGGCTGAAAGCTGTGGACAAGTCGGGCCTACCTTGAAAGTTTAAAGCCTGGGTCTATCAGCATGGCATTCTTCCCAGGATACTGTGGCCCCTCCTCGTCTATGCAGTCCTAATCTCAACAGTTGAGACCTTAGAGAGGAGGGTCAGCAAACACCTCAGGAGATGATACGACTCTGCTAGCAGCGCTGTCCTCATCTGATGACGCCTTCCTGATATTCTCCAACACCCGCCCAAGTACTGGAACAGATCGGCCCTCTGGTCTTCTTCCCAGGTAAGAGCATTTTCCATGCCTACAGATATTTCTGCTTATTGTAAGATTACATTGATTTGAAAGTCCTCCATCTGAACAAAACGAAGTACAGCACTCCATGGTTTTATAAAGAGAGGATTCACTTAACAGCTTTTCTTTTAGTTGTTTAGCAGCTGTTTGTATTGTTGTAACCCGGCTCCTAGGCTATGACAAATATGGAAAGGACACAAGGGATGATGGTAACGTAAAGGTATTTATTATAACTAAATAAAGAAATAGTTACCTATGTGAAGTGTGTCAGTCAGTAACGTCAGTAATGTAAACGTGAATGTGTGTGTGATGAAGTGTGGGGTGTTGTCAGCAAAACAAAAGACCAAAACCAAAGTATAAACGGGCAGCCACTGGCAGGGATCACTCAGCATGCGCAGGAGAGAGCCAGGGCAGAGCAACACTGGAGCAGGGCTTTCATGCCCTCGGAGCTCCAGGACCAGGTGCTCTGCATCAAGTAATCTACCATGACTGCTTCCTGTGACTCCTTCAGGGACAAAGGGACAAAAGCATACTTTTACAGTGGTTAGAGGCAGGGGCCGTCACAGTATCAATTGTAATTCATTATCATATGTATTATTACACATTTTTGTTCTGTCCATTAACTTTGACTGCTTTAACAAACTCTGAGCCTAACCCTGAATCTCTGAGATGGAAAACTGGAGTTTTCGTTTCCACAACAGCTGATCAGATCAGAGTCAACTCTGAGTTTGTTCACTCTGGGTTGGGCTTGTGTGTGGTGAATTACAACAGCCATCATCAATGGAGCTCTGATTCCACGATACACCATGGCAACAGGTAAACAGGCAACCTTCATTTTAATTCAGTGAAAGTAGAGATATTCATGCATATAAGCTATATATGGACTCTGCACATTGATCTTTAAACAAGAGCCTGAGTTAGAGGGGGGAAATGTCAAAATGTTTACACAATAAAGTTTTATTCAGTGTTGTCCATAACCTAATAATAATAGGCTGTACCCTACATATATCTCAAACAGCTTTAATCTGACGGGGACAAAACACAGGGGCCAACAGAAGATGACAAATATAGTTGAAGATTTAAAAAATGTATTGTTCAATAGAGATAAGAGACAGTGTAAGATCACAATGTGATCCAGTAACAATGTGTTTGGTCGTTTAAAATATTGTGGATTTTAAATGTAAGACATATTTCACACTTATTGGCTCAATTGCATTCAGTAGCTTTATTTCAGCTACTTCAACAAATGTAATATTGTTTAACACCGTCATTGAAATGCTGTTAAAACACGTTCAATATACGCAGCCAGTTTTAAAAAACTCACTTTCAAACTACATTCTACAGTTACACCATGACCCTGCTTACTCAGACATATTAACATATAATCGGCAATATTGCATGAATTATGTTCAATCTGTGACAGTTGGCATTAACTGTGTGGACAGAGTCACAGCATTATATATGTATATTAAAAACATCTTCCACTTGCAACAAAGGACATGGAGAGGTTTTATTCTGAGCTGAGGGTGACTTGACTCTAATATGAAAACTTGAGGTGAAAAACGCTGTTAAAATGACTGTCAACACATAAAATCAGTAACTTTAGATTTTCCTGAGAAACTAATTAATATCTTTGATATGGACTGAATGAATAACGAAATGAAAGAAGAAGACACTATGAGGTTACTCAGGTTAGGCTGCAGTTTGTGGGGACACCGGCTAAGAATGGCTTCCTGGATCAGTTTGTACTTTTTATCTTGTACTTTTATTGTTTCCATTTCCAGATAGAAAAAGCACATTCCCCAAAGTACAAATATTTGTTTGTCACTCAAATCATGTGAAAGGAAGGTCTGAGTCACGTGAGAAATGTTGTGAACTGTTGCTCTTCAGGGAGGCTAATGTGTGTGAATGAGTGTGAAACCGGGAGATGGCGACAGGGCAACAAGTGGATTATTACCGAGAGTAGAGTCCATGAAGAAGAACGATCCGCTACCACGGAGCGAAAGGCGATTGGCTGACTCTCTCTTCACGAACACTATCGTCAAGTAAAGGAGATGGTACGTGTTACAACATTTAGGTACAACACATGCGCAGAGCATGTCCCAGCCTTCATTCCCTGCACTGGCCGGTGTTACGTCCCTACTGGTTTCTGCACCTACTGGTTTCCCTTCCGTGCGTGTGTTGTGTTCGCTTAACAGCTGCAGCGGTTTTCTGCCTCTGTCGCCTGATTCGTCACACATTCACAAACATATTGCTGGAGATCGAAAAGACACATCTCATATCAATTGCAGGGATTACGATTGTATAAATTAGCACTGCATCACAGCCACGTATGAAGAAATGCATAGAAGAAAATACATTTATGCAAAGATCGCAACAACCTGGATTCGAACTCTGGCGAGCAAAACTCCTTAAGGCGGTCGCGCTACGCACTCCGCCACTTATGCATAGTAATTTAACAGACATTCAGTAATTTATTCACCAAGTCATACCTCATCAGTGTCCAGGAAACGTTTTGGTTTAGGTTGAACTGAAACAACTGGTTTCCTGGGGCGTATCTTCGAACAAAACCTTATCAATGCTTTTTCGCG